GATCTACTGTCAGTGTTTGGGGTGTGTAGTTCAGGGGGATTTAGGGTCTGGTTTATTCCTTCATCTTGCTTTAACACCATAGGACTAGTGATTGGAGTACACTGCTATATCTTGTGTCATTACAGCGTCTGATACAATAGTGTACCCAGAAGGCAGGACACAGTCAGACACACACTGACAACAATTGATAAGCTTTCTGTATTAAAAATGCTATCAAACACATATATATTACACGTGTACAAGTATATATATTCTAGCAGGTACAAAATATTATTGTATACATTCAAAATCACAAATACAAGGGGGGGAATCTGGAAAAGCAGACACAGAAAGCCGCTTTGTACCTCTCATTGTATGGAGCTTGTCACTTTAAACATTACTGTTCTGGCAGTGTTATCTTAAAGCTGTGTCATCGCAGCAGATCTAATATAAGATCAGAATATAGTCTTGTAGTCACTTGTAAAATGCAGAGCTAAAGTAAGAGAGAAAAGAGCTCGCGACATTATTGTGAATTAGAGAAAGAAAAACCATGTGTAAATAGGGACATCATCTTACATAAATAATATAGAACTATGCAGGTTACACAGTGAATTCAACATTTATTATAACAATATGATAGATACGTACATACATACAGTTAAAAAAGATCTAGTGTGATGTTACAAGTGCGCTAGTCTTATGTGAATATAGGGCTCTGTCCACATGAGATCTGTCTCTGTGCTGTAATGATAAAAAAAAAATAAAAGGTCTTGGATTACTATACCAACCACTTAACTGCAAGTCATTCATCTACTTGGGAATGATTTCTGTACAACATAAGGTTTACCAAAGAGACTCATAAACATTGTTGAACAGCCACAAAGGTTTATAAAAGATAAAATTGTGCTCTATTTTTTACTTTCAGTTCTCTCATAACTCGCACTTCATGGGTGCCATTACTTTCCGAGCCACTGCAGACACCAAAACTTGAAATATGACATCCTCGCAAACCTTACAGCACATTTTCCACACTTCATCTCATACCAACAATCAATTTTTTGACCACGCTCCGATCTACAGAAGAGAAGGGGTCCCGCTTTTTAATTTCCGTAATGTTTCGATACAGAGGGAGGGAGTGAAAAGAGGCTAATTAAAAGGGAAAAAAAAAACTGTTAAAAGCCGTCAGTTCGACAATAATTCTGTTCCGTTGTGCCTGCAAAGTTAATGTTTCTGCCTCTTAACACAGATGTTTTAATTAGACGCTGTTATTAAAGAGAATATTGTAGAGATTAAAAGCCAACGCGAATATGTGAGTGTAAAACGCTAGCACACAGTGTAACGCTGGTCATTAGCAACAGTTCATAAAAGAAACAATAGATATAAAAGACAGATTATAAACAATCTTACTACAAAATAATGTGTGTGCGAGTAGTTCTTGAAGACCTTGCTATTCAGGCGTCTCATTTTGATGGGGGGGTGGGGGGGTAGGAATCATACATTTAAGTCTGGGGTCATGTTTATTGTAATATTGCGATTGTTCTTTTTTTTTTTTTTGTACCCAGTTGCTAGATGTATTTTGAGTTATTAAAGGGATTACATAGCAAAGTATCCTGCTTTAGAGCTGTAGCGGATAAACAATAAAACTTTGAGAATAATGAAGATTGTATTATCTATTCTATTAGGGTCTATTAGTATAACTTGATACTGGCTAAAACAGTCAAAGCTTCTGTTTTGCAAAAGAATGAACCATTTCAGTGACAAAGGGGTGAGGAACATGTTACTTTTGACACTAAAATTGTTGGTGGACCAATAAAATAATCCTACTAAAGTGCAAGCCCTGACAATGGTAACTGCACGGATATTAAACACATTACCTGCCCCAGTATTGGTAGAAGGAAAAAATATATTTAGTTCAAGGGACTGTAAACGCATCATCACTACTGTACCCTATTGTAGAAACAAAGAATGTGATGGCCGATAAAAACCATTCGGCCCATCTAGTCTGCCCGATTTTCTGAATACTCTCATTAGGTCCCTCTTATCTTATAGTTAGGATAGCCTTATGCCTATCCCACGCATGCTTAAACTCCTTTACTGTGTTAACCTCTACCACTTCAGCTGGAAGGCTATTCCATGCATCCACTACCCTCTCAGTAAAGTAATACTTCCTGATATTATTTTTAAACCTTTGTCCCTCTAATTTAAGACTATGTCCTCTTGTTGTGGTAGTTTTTCTTCTTTTAAATATAGTCTCCTCCTTTACTGTGTTGATTCCCTTTATGTATTTAAATGTTTCTATCATATCCCCCCTGTCTCGTCTTTCCTCCAAGCTATACATGTTAAGATCCTTTAACCTTTCCTGGTAAGTTTTTTATCCCGCAATCCATGAACCAGTTTAGTAGCCCTTCTCTGAACTCTTTCTAAAGAATCAGTATCCTTCTGGAGAAACGGTCTCCTGTACTGCTCTGTACAGTGGCGTGAGCACTTCCCTCTCTCTACTGCTAATACCTCTCCCTATACAACCAAACATTCTGCTAGCATTTCCTGCTGCTCTACTACAGTGTCTGCCTACTTTTAATTCATCTGGAATAATGTTGTGATGATTATGTCGTAGGAGACTGTGAATAAAGTTAAGAAAATGAGGCGTGAAAAAGATGGCGAAAAGCAGGCTTTTAAAAAAATTAAAAAAAATAAAGCAAGAAATGGGGCAATAGTAGTGAATAGACATGGTGTCCTGATTAGATTTGCAGATGGCCCCAGCAGGTGACTACATATCTATGTAACCTTGGAAGATCGTTTTGAATGAGTTACTTTGACTTCTCTGTACTCCTTGACCTGGCCCGGGATTACGTCATTGTGTATTTCTGGATTCCCTGACCTTGACCTATACTGTATTATCTTCTGCTACTATAGTCTTTGCTTTAAGCCTGTCCATTCTAAGGTCCGGTAATACGCTGTTATCCATTTCTGTATATATTAGAATAGCACTGGTTCATGCTCTCTGTGGGTCATACCATTGACAGAAATTTAGAGCAGAAGGGTGCAAATATACTAGAAATATAAGAAAAGTATCAGGTGTAAGTGAAGTAGAAAGCAGGATGAAGTTCAGCAGAATTTAGGGTAATTGAGATGGGAAATGGGTATGTATACAGGAAACTGATAGATGGGTGTATATAATAAAAATTGAGAGGCAATAAAAGATTTAGAATTTTGCAATGATCAGATACAAAGTGAATTTAGAAGAGAGACAATATGCAGATAAATGGTTATATTATCGAAGGAAAAACTAAAATGAGAATTGGCAGATATAAAGGAAACCAAGGGGAAGTAGGTGGGAAAGTAGATAAATTGGACTGCGAGGGATATTGGGAGAGACACTGATAGGAGGCAGGGGTGGCTATTGCGTAAATTAAGAAAGGCAACAGGCATATGTGACAAAACTTAGAAGGAAATCGAGCAGCTATAATGAAATTCAAGGGAGTAATGTTCATATACAAAGGTTTGTGGGAGGGTAAATGGGCGATGGAAGGAGGGGGAGGGAGGGTCCAGAACAAAAAGAAACAATAAAATATAGCGTAGCTACCTAAATAGCATCTTGCTTTCTTATTGCCAATAAGCCAATAACATTTCTAGAAGGCAGAGTAATGGAAATAAGACACTATCCTAATTAACAAACAGCAGAACCTGGCAATTTACAGCAGAACAATCTCCTAATTAAGACCATTTCCTTGCATGATGGGCTTACTAATTGCAGAGAAAGTTGTTTTCGTGTCTTGTCTTTAATGTGAAGCTTCGGTGCAGTCCATAGGGCAGCCCATCAAACATATCAGAGAATCGGAGCTGGGGGAGTGTGTGGGCATTAACCTCCTCTCTGCTGGTTCTAACTTTGGGTTTGTGTCCCTCTGTAAAACACGCATGGCTGTAGAAAAACATACTCAAATAATAGAGCAGAAACATTTTTGAAATTATGGACATTGTCGGTGGTCTCGTTGATTCTCTATGTATCTTGTCTATGGAATATCCTGGGCAGGGGAGGGGGGGGGGGTTATTTTATTACACTGATAGGGATTAATGAATATGTGCAATATATTGCATTATCGCTGTTAACCAAATAACAAAATTAGACTTATTTGATAAAAGCTATTAGAAACATAGATTTTGGCAGGAGATAAAAGCCATTTAAACCACCTAGTTTGTCCGTTTCTCATCCAAAAACCACTGGCTTTGTTCTTGATGTATACTTATTGCCTTTATGATGAGACAGTTCTCTTTTTATTGCTTTTTCATCTCTGTTAATTCCATAAGGAAACAGTTTTGTATTTGTCTCTCCTTTTCTTTCTCTCAGTTTTTCTTTCACGATGTCATCAATATCAGACACTTGTTCTTACTTGTACTTACTTGTTCTTTGTCTTTCCTTTTTTTTTTTTTTACAATTCTTTATTTGTTGATTTTGTATAAATACCAGTATTTGGGGAAGGGGATACAGAAAAGAAGAGAGGTAGGGTAGGGGTGGGGTATAATAATCCCATCTATTCACAGTTGTACCATCGCAGGGTACGCTTTTATACATGTTAGCACAGTTGGATATGTTAGCAGTTTAACAATGGGTTGTAATTCAGGTTTGAAGTATTATTCCCTTGTCACTCATTTTTCTGTGGCTGTGTAGGCCTACATTTCATCCTTGTGAGGATGCTTTGGGTGGGGAGAGGGGGGGTCTGTTCGAGTCATGTGTCCGAGTGGGGTTGTAGTGTATTAACCTGTCAAAGTTGCTATTGGTCTCCTATCGAATGCTTCATCCTAAGTGGAGTGACTCGTTCAAAGGTGTATCTTCGGGTTGAGCCTGTGGTTACAGTGGGTTTGGTAGTTTGCTCTGTGGGTGTTGTGGATGGGTCCCTTAGGCGGCCCAGTTAATGTTCCTGTTGTTTTACCCGTCTGTCTCCTGTTGTAGGGGGTGCCTAGGGTGGTGCCTCCTGTGGTCTTTCTAATGATCCCCGGCTCTAGTTCCCCTGTTCTGGTCTCGCCAGTTCAGGTAGTTGTTTCGGTTTGCCTGTGTGTCTCCCTGGTTCGTGGGTGTGCTTTGCTCCCTTTTGTTTTGTGGATGGCTTGGGGAGTGGGACTGGGTAGGGTGTCTGGTGTTGGTTTAGGTGGTCTGGGTATGGGGGATTGAGGTTAGGGTTAGGGTTAGAGCCTGTGTACCGCCTGGGTTGCGGCTCCCCCACGGTCGGGCCGGAAGGGGACCGAGGGTGCCCTGGGGTTGATGTTAGAGTTGTGGTGTGTCTTTTAAGAATCATGTGTTGGTGTCTTGGATGTTTGTCTTGATGTTGGCTGGTTCCGTCTCGATGTGGGTGGGTTACCATGGGATGGTTGTGTCTCCCTCTAGCCACGGGTCCCATACTTTGTGGAATTGTTTGTGGGTGTCTCGAAGTTGTGCTGTCAGTTTGTCCATCTGTGAGCTCTCTACTATCTTTCTTGTTATCGTTTCCTGTGTCGGGATGCTGGTCGTTGACCAGAGCTCCGCTATGGCTCTGTGGGTTGCTAGAGCAATTCGGGAGATCATCTTGTTTTCTGATCTTGTGAATGGTTCTATAGGTTTAGAGAGCAGCAGGGCCCAAGGGTCTATGATGCATGGTTTGTTCAATAGTTTAGTAATTAATTGAGTGGTGCTCTGCCATAGCGGTTGGAGTTTCGGGCACGTCCACCAGCAGTGGAGGAACGTCCCTGTCTCCCCGCATTGTCTCCAGCAGACGTTAGACGGTGTATGGTGCATGGAGGCAAGGCGTTGCGGTGTAAGATAGCATCGAAATAGCCTTTTAAACGCCTGTTCCGTGTGTTTTACGCAGATGGAAACAGAGGCTGTTGCCTCTCATATGTCCGACCAGTCCGTCGTTTCAATTGGGGGGCCGAGATCCTTCTCCCATGCTGATATGTATGGAAGGGAGCATTGTGTGGGGTGATTGGCTATGGTCATCTAGATGTCCGAGATTTGTCCTTGTCTGTTTGGGTGGATCGTGCATTCGAATTTGGAGAGTGGGGCCGTGCCCGCTTGCTGGATACTCGGGATTGCTGCGAAACTGCGTAATTGAATATATCGAAAGTGATCAAACGTTGTGAGGTAGGATGACTCTTTAATGTCCATGAATTGAATGATTTTGTTACCCTGATAGCTTTGTCTTTTCTTTTCTTTCCCTTTCGCAATCCTTTACTTCCTGCTGTCTGTAAGAGGCTGCTTTCTCGACATTGGACAACTAAACCACATTGTTCGCCGATATGCAACTAAGGATGAAATTTATATAGCTAATGCATAGGTGGGACTTCCTCATTGGCAATCTTACAAGCGGGCATGACTGCAGGGGCCACAGAGACTCACCCCTGTTCTATGCATCCATTAATTTCAATATGGGTCTTAATTAGCTTGGCTGCTTTACACTCATTGGAGTTGTTTTACTTTTACTTGCTTATGTTTATTTAATTTATATGTGATTTTGTGAATACGTGAAAAAAATTGCTTTCTGCCATTAACTCTAGATTGTAAATTCTTTCAGGCAGGGCCCTCATCAACGTATTGCTCTGTTTGTAACAGTTTGTAATTATCTACTTTAATGTAAAATTTCCTCATTTATAATATTGTTAAACTCTGCGGAATAAGTTGTCGCTATATAAATGGCGATAATAATTAAAGCATACATTTTGGATATAGTGACCATTTCAGCAGCAATTTCTCCGATTCCAGCCCTCTAAATGACTGTATCACTGCTCCTGAGAATTGCAAAGTGCCACATTACGGGCCCTGTATGCCGGTTGTAAGAGCATTCAGCTAATGGGAGAAGAAGGTCACGTTAATCACATGTAAATAATAGACATGGAGGGGAAATATGTGCTATTGTTTAATGTGTACCAATAGGATCCATGCAGAGAGCACTGACACAAGCATGTGGATTTCTAATTAAGTCTTATTCATCATTAGCCGAGACTTAGTGTCAGCGCACATTAGTGCTTTGTGTCGGTTGTGCTGTGTAATATAGGACATGGATGATACACATTTTACAAGTGGTTTAGAAATCTGTGAATAAATATGATTAGCATTTTCTCTTCATTTTTATGAATCTCATTTACAGTTATTGGATTGTCGTTTCACTTTGTCAAAATTACTTAGAATTAAACTACAATAAAACATATGAGGCCTCCGAGCTTTATGTAACCGCCAAACCGAAAAAAAAAAAAAACACACAATATTTAATAGAAATAATAATGTCAGGTTTAATGATTACATTATACCATACAAGCAACAAATATGTCCACATGTTATGTTTTTCAGTACATGGCACTGTAAAATTTTAATATTGATTCAGTCTCATCATCTGATACATTGATTATCTTAGAAGCTGATTATTGTAGTAGCGACTAAGAATATAATACATACCACCCAACATGTAGCCGGCAAAATCGGGATGGTGTGGGTGGGGCATAATGAGAGCGTTGCCAGTGATGCAAACAATGGTGATTCCTACAAGGGGTGGGCCTGTCCACTGACTAGCTTTTAGGACAGTAGGACTATGCAGGGAGAGCTACTGAAATGCTCCATGTATGCACCTAAGGAACGCTGCACACTGCTCGCGCATTTAATGACGCACTTGTGCAGTGTTACTCAAGAACAGTTCTCTGGTCTTCCCACATGCAGGACACCAGGAAACAAAATCAGGACTGTCCCACCAAAAGCAAAACTGTTGAGAGGCCTGATAATAACATTAGAATTTAAATTCTGTCACAATCCCAAGCTTGTTTTAATTGAATTACTGTTTTTTAAATTCTGATGTCAGTTTGACCATTGTCCAAAAACATCTTAACGTTCCACAGCGACCTTCGCCACATTATAAAGGGTATATATATAACCCTTTATTCACTTACCAGATTCCTGTGCCGAGGTCACGGTCCACCTCATCTGGTGTCATCCGGTGGAGGGGACCTAATGCACGTGTGCGGTGAGTGCTGTGAGTGCATTAGGCCTTTCCCATTGCCTCAGTGCTTTCCTATGGGTTTCTTCCCCAGCGTTTGATGTCCTCATGCAGAACGTGAGGATGTCCAGTGTTGTTTCACACATCCAAACTCCGTGAAACTCCATAAAGCGCCTCTAGTGGCAGTGGCAGTATTTGTTTGATTGCCAGGTTTGCTTTTTTCAGGGGCATTCATTATTAGTTGTTTTTTTTAATTATCAGTAATTGATCAAATCTCTTTTTATTTTTGCTTTCAGTAAGATAAAAATGTGTCTGTAAATTTTAACTAGTGTTTGTGATTGCGTAACTTAAAATATTGGACCCTTTTTCCTGAACCAAATATGCCAAAATATGCCAAAAAAAACAAAACATTGGAAATGTGTTATTGTGATAGCAATGCCTTGTTTACACTTAACATGCACATCATTATCAAACAATGGAAAGTGATCATGGCCTACACTCACAAATCAGAGATTCCCAATTTTCCCTCTAACCAACTTTGCCAATTTACCAACAGTGCTACAGATTCTTGTAGCCACGTTACAAATTTAATTCAGGGACAAGAATATTAAATTAAATGTTCTTGCTATGGCAACTTTCTCTGAAAAGTGGATGGCCTAACAGGTTCCTCGTTGTTTGCTGCTTTCTATGTGGCCTTCTCAATAAAAGCCATGTTGGCTTGAGTCCACCTCCTATTTTCCTACATCATCAGAGAGAGTCTTCCTTGTTCAACCGTACAGGCACTTGCTCAGACTGTCTGTGCCCGCTGTGTAGTCCATGACCTGTGCTGTAAGTATAGGTCAACCGTATCTTCCAGAAACAATCCTGGACTTCATTTACGGCTCTCAATAGTATTCCTGTTTACTCAGCTACAAATCAGTCTTCCATTATAAATCGGAATATCTGCAGCTGATTGGAATGTGAGCCAATGCTTTCTCCTCATGCTCTACTCTTGTCCCACCTCTGTTTTCCTTCCCCTTTCTCCTCTTTTCCATCAATTTCTCCTCTCCTTGTTGGTCTTTTTTTTATCACCAATTTCTCTTGTTTTTCCACTACTACACACACACACAAGGAATCTTCTTCCAAGCGTTGTGCATGCAGAGTTAAAAATGCTCCTAACCTTTAAACCAAAAACCTGGAAAAACCATTATACGGACTAAAAAACAAACTTCAGCATAGAAAAAAAAAACCCAACAAAAACAATTTGGGTAATGATTTTAAAAGCTGCCTAGCACAAAGGTCCATTTAATCCTGCATTTTGACAGCCATGACTATAAGTCAAGAGGACATGGAATTGGAGACTGAAATATAAAGGGCCAGTAAACCAATCTTTTCTTTAAAGCCTCAAGTGGAATTGCCAATGCTTCATGTCTGTCTGTGTGTCTCTGTGCATCTATCTATCTATAGATAATGTGCGAAAAATATGTACAGATATAAATGAACTATGTATACATATACATGACTATTAGAGCTGTCTTGGCCTGACATAATGAAGATTTATTGAGTCAATGGTGGGTGGGCAATGAAACGAGAGACCGAAGGACATATTTTTAGAGGGAGGGGGACACATCTGACCCTGGGATATCATGTTTGAAATGCTTTATATATATCATTACATCCTGTTAGATGTATTCAAAAGACACGCTCACATGTGACATCACAACACATTATGGTTTTGCATGCTGTCAAAATGGTGGAAGGAATATAAAAAGTGTCTGCTACCAGTTAACTGTGTATTTATGTATGTATGAATACACATACACACACTTTGTCACAAAACAACACTCTATGGACTTCTGGACAAAAAATAACAATATGCAATTTATTCTGTAAACATTTCAGTTTTACTATGCAAACCTTTCTTTAGGACATCTATGCACACATGTATGTACATGTGCACCTCTCCTTAATTGGATGGAAGTTCTTCCCTTGTTTTGTTCTGTTAATAATGTATTGTTTGTTTTTTTTATTCAGTTTTGTTAAATTTTACTACATGACAGGAGGCTTCATATTTTGTATTAACTTTCTTTACTAGCTCCACAGCAGTAAAGAAAAAAACAGTTGAACGAAAGAACCAATCAGCATGAGTCAGAGCATATATAAGTTCTAGCCTAGCCATCCATTTCCTCTTTTTTTGCTGCTCCATCACAAGTCAGGTCAGAGTAATACTTCCTTAAGTATTTTTTACTTATCTGTATTGCTTTGTTGTATGTTTCATGTGTATGCTGGGGCTTTCAGGCTCCTAGTTACTGGGGGGTGGCTGGGGTCGTCCTTGGGTACCCCTTTAACGGTCAGGGATTCCCCAGCTCTACCTCGGGTAGCTCCTGGTCCTTTTCCCCCCTCCCCTTCCACCGAGTGGCTACGTT